CCTCGACACCGGCGCAAACTCTTGCTCCACTCTGGCACCTACCCCTCACCGGCCCTAACTCCCGCGTCGATGTCTGTGCCTACTTTGGCAACGACATCGCTTCCACGTTGCATGCCTTTGATGAATCCTGTTGGGCTGATTGCAACGCCACTCATCGTGTTTTGAGAGTCGACAACGGCGGCGCGTGATGGCTCACGAAGCATGTGGGGCCAAGAAGCACAGCGCTGGACGTCGAGCGAGCATCGTCGCTGCCGACAACGCCTACTCCCATTCTTGCACCGAAGACAACACTGATTACTACGGGTTTAACCTGGCGTTCCAAGCCGTCGCAAGTCGAGCAAAAGGCCGAAGCGACATCGAACATGCGACCGCATGAACATCTCGTTTGCCTTGGCAAGACATGGAGCCATGGGCCATCCAGAGTATTTTGGTCGGTCGATGCCTTCATCTTTTGGTTCGGTGTGGTCGACGACCGAGACTGCCAAGGGCAGGAGCTGTGTCTTGACATGTTCTTCAAGACACCACGCGACTGGAATTTACGACGACGAAATTTGTTAGCTACATTCCTTCCTTCGTGATGTGCTTATACAGACGTGCCCGGGGATTCAGCGCGTTGAAAATGCATTTCCGAAACACGGTTGGCTTCACGCACGCTCGAGTTGCCAGCAGCCAGTATGGCATCGCATGCACCATCCAGACCAGAGGCTCCTCCCCTCAACACCATGGCAAATCGCCCGACGCAATCGAATGGCAGCGACAGGTCGTGGGACGCTGGAGCCACTCGACCTCCTTGACGCGGTCGGGCAACTTGCCAAGAGCAAGATTATTCAACGCCTGCAAGATGGTTATGGTGTAGCCCTGATAGCCACGCGACGACGTCTGCGAGGCTCACGGTTGTTGGTCACTAGAATGTCGATTTCCATGGAGTTGCCGGATATCTTCGCATAAGCTGCCACTGAATCACTCTCAAATGGCCGTTTTCCAGCCGCGCCACCGCTAGTCGCATGCATCCAACACGCGAGGATCCCATGTGCGCATGCAGCCATCGAAAGGACTTCCATGTAGGGAGTTGATAGCGCAGAGGAATTTTGGAAGTGATTCAATTGTCATCGTTAAATCGTTCTAGCTAAAGATCGCTATGCAGTACTCACGTGACCGTGTCGCGGATGCGAGTGCGCCTAGCTGCCGACTTCTACAGACCACGCACACTCGACGTCGCGACATCATTAGTTAGGACCTTTGGTCGCTACATTCCACGTGGCCGTCCCAGGCAACCCACGTCATGGCATTCCTGGAGCATCCTTCGCCACGATGCGTGCGAAGCCATTCCGAGTCATCCATGGGATTGGGCCTCGCTGCTTGGGCCATGGCCGCCAGGTGGTTGCGATGAGTGTCGACGCCTATGCGTGGCGCGATATCGGACTAAACATGTCGAACACAAACTCCTCCATATTCGATGCGATTCCGCCAAATTGAGATGAACTCCACGACACCCCAGCGAAACGGGCACACTCACACGCATGCAACTTGACCAGTCGAGACAGTCCTCACGTGCTTAGCCACCCGTCCGCGACGGATGCGAAGGGAATTGTGTTGGTATCCAGCGCACATGGCCATCGACGGCAACGTGTCCAAGTAAACTCCTTCCGCTCAACATGATCTCGTTCTCCCGACGCGAAAAGTACTCGGTCCACATGGATTCGAGTCGTGAATTCCCGGTGCGACCACGGCATCCAACGGACATCGCTGTCATGCGCGACGCACTCAATGGGCCCCCGTGCATGCATGACAGCCCCTCTCGACCATCAAAGCACGGCACCTTCGTGCAAGTATCAGCTTGCGTGGCATGCATCATGACTTGTGCGTTGGGCATCGCCCATGCACTTCTACCATCTCACGAAGTGGGAATAGTCTGGTATGCTCATCAACCCGCAGAGGAAGCATGGACGAGCTGTGTTCTATCGTCGAAGGTGGTGAATATGTCGATGCAGATTCCTGGACTTTGCCCTACGTGCATCCTTCGCACGATTCAAACAAGCTTGCCCACGACAGAGGCAACCCCGTCGTAAGCAAGTCCTGTCGATCCAAGGTGGATCAGCATGTGTCATGAACGTCAATACCCCGTATGCAACGACCTGACCGAGTTTTCGTTCATGCGAACGCCCTACTTGAAATCCATCGCCCATGAGATGAACAAGTGGCCACAGTAGTGACGATGCCAGCAGTAGCCAAGCCGTTGGAATGCTCGGTAGCTTCCCCAAGATGATGGCGTGAACCACACGTTATTGTTTGTGGTAACTGTCTTACTGATCGTCAGTGGATGGAAACTCGTGGCCGTGATATGCCATGCCCATGCCAGAAATGTTGTCGCCCAGCCCACACGTGTGATCGGGTTTCTTGCACGCTAGCATGGGTACAATGAAGCATTGAAAATCACCTACACAGCTCAAGTCAGAGAAACGTCGTCGAATTAAGACAGCTTCGACGCGTAAGCACCTTCCGTCCACGTGGCAGTAGGAGACCGAGGGTCGATATCCCACGTGATGCTCGACGTCAACGGCGTTGATCGAGGTAGCAAAATCTAACACCATGTCAGGTTGACACCGGTCACGCAAAGAAGTCGAGACTGGAGACGTGACAGCACTGCAGGCATTAGCTTCTCGTCATACCTCGACCAAAGACGGGGCGATTGAAATATCGGCGCCTTGGAGTCCTCGGGTCCGATCCCCGCACGCCAACTTGGAACTGATAAGCGCCGCTTGCATGAGTGCTGTCATGGGGTTTTGCCACCCGCTGTCTCGTTTCTGGCACAGTATATGAAACTGCAGCGTGTGGAAGTGCAGCCGCGTCAAGCGATGCAACGGGGCCACAGCGGAAGGATCGGCCTTGTGGAGCGCCGCGGCTTTGGCGGCATACGCAATGACGTCGGCCAATTGCGACGTCACCATGGACACACTGGGGCGCGAAGACGTCGTGACGAGTTCTTCGCCTGGAAAGAGATAGCGTAATTCGTAAATGTCGCGACAAGGCAGCAACATCGACTGCTGTAGCCAAATCATTGCGCATGGCAATCAACATGTCAGTGTTATCCAATAATTTTCCATCATAAAATAATGCACCAGACAACTCGCTGCAAGCCTTTGGAGCCACGGAAATCACAACGAATGCCCACCTGTGACGAGAAAGTGGTGCAAAATAGCAAGCTCTTGTTCGTTGAATCCCACGGAGTGAACGTAAGGCAGCACCAACTTGACCGTATCGTCGAAGAGCGTGAAATCTACCACAGTTTACATGACATACATCCGTGAATTGTGGCACCATACCCGACGCAGCGGCAAATTCATAATGCGCCAAGGTCGATTTAGTCGATGTGATGCGCTGGAGCATCGCCGACAAATCCTGGAGCCGCTTGTATCGCCTATCTTCGTCCGTTTCGACTTCCATCAGTTGCAGACCTCCAATAACAACCTACAGCACACGTATCGACACGTTTCCATCGAAAGCCATGCAATCAGCAGCTATCGTCACTCGTGACCGAGTGCATTTTGACCAAATGCCAGTTGGAACGACCCCATCAAGTTGATAAATTGAAGTACCATGTTGGGCTTGAACGACTCGAGAGCCTTGTCGAAATCCTCCAAGACAGATAGCCGGGCGTTGTACACGTCGTGGTTTAGGTAATATCTATTCGCCCGGGGCGAGACCAGGTTGTTGAACGCATCGCCCTTGGCATATTCGAGCACAAGATGCACGTCCTCATGGCCTCCCTCATCGACGCTGCCAACAACTTGAACCTTCGGATGGAACAGCGCTCGCATGTCGGCACCGACGGCTCCCCCAAGTAGGACCTATAGAAGTCAATTTGAACGCACTTAGTACTAATATTGCAAACTATGCCTACAGACGTAAGGAAACACATACCTCGTTGCCTTCATAAGCAGCACGCTGAGCCATCTGTGCGGCATTTCCACCCAACGACGACTCAACTGTCGGAATCGACTTAGCGAGCGTGACGACTTTACGGAATGCTTCGGCGGAAGACTTCAATAAAGTACAACATCATGAGGAGACGCATAGATAAGTCAACTCGGTGTGCATAAGTAGGGAGGATGAAAACGAACGTACCATGCTCTGCTCGGCAGCAGCGCCTTGCGAAAAGTAGTGTCCGAAGCTCTCCATAAGTTCGACATTCGAGTTGATGCGTTCGTGGTGGCGAGGTTGGATATCGTGACTGTGGTCAAATTTGTCCATCAGGTCAGTCGCGCGGATGCTGACATCCACGTCGGCCGAGCAGCAGAACGCTAACCGATTCTTGGAATGGTGTGGCTTGCCTCGTGCGTGATACTGCATGGAAGCGAGGAAGAGAGCATGTTCCGCGTCCGTGAAGGCCGATGTCGAGCTAATTTTATCCGCGGGGATGAGGCGGGCGAGCTCGTCCGCGTAGAAGAATGCCACGCCGCAGACAACGAGGGAAAGGCCGACGGCCGCCCATTGCGATGCGCTGTACATGATCGATCAAGAAATCCAGAGATGCACCTCTTTATTTTCTTACTTTATAAAGTATAACAGGACTGAAATTTGCGCGCGAACATGCATTTTTGAATTTCCAACGATAAGGTCGTTGCATCCGACGCGCTCCACCGACGCAGACACGAGAACGACCGTGCGAATCGATCAAGAACATCGAAGGTATGGTACTGCACGAACGACAGTACTCATCTTTCTCGAGGTCGCTAGGGAGGTCGCCATGTTGTGTGGAGTAGTTCAAATGACGGACACACGACTTGACCAATCCACAGCACAAGACGATGCAAGGCCCGAATGTGAAGTACAACGAAAGAATGAATGAATGCAAAATGCGTGCAACGATGAGAAAGCACTGGAAGTTGTATTTCAGAACTCAATGACCGAGGCATGCCGTGCGAAGGTCATGGATTGGTTACAAGGATCGGATCGCGGCAGCATGAAGCATCATTTCGACGACGAATGCTCGGCTCGGTGGATTATCCGCCCATGCATGTACGATGATTGCGAAGCAATTGCTCTGTAAATCACAGGACATTCCCTTGAGTTCAAGGAACACAAGGCTAAGTGGGTTGAGGTTGTGCCAGTAGTGCATGTGTACGTGCTTGGCACTGGACGTTTGAAACAAGTTGAAAATACCAAAGTTTCAAGTGTTGCGCTCTTCGAGCCTCGGGATTTTGATGTCGTCAACGTTGCAAATCCAGCGATTCTAAATTTATCCCAATTGTCAAATTGAAACGACACCGTCGCACTTTTTGCCGCGGACACCCCCCATGGCAGTGGCGGCAGACTTTTCTGGTTGGGTCAAAGAATTGGATTCGTTCAAGCCCTCGGCTGACGATGGTGACGACGACGAAGAGGATCGGCTACAAGACATGAGCGCCACCTACACGAGCAGGTCCAAGAAGGGCCACGCATCCCAACTCGACGAAATCAAGCAAGAAATGAAGCTCCTCAACTGGCACAAGCTCGCCAACGAAGCCGCATTGAAAGCTGCTTTGATCAAAACGAAGGTTCGTGAGTACAGGCATGATTTCTCTTGGCCAGAAGTTGCTGAGGCAGACAAGTAGAAGCTCAAGCGCGAGGACGCGCGGCAGTTTTCCCTCGTGGACGCCGAAGAGCACATGGAGCGTCTCCAACAGATTGAAGAAGAGGAAAACTTGAAGCCTCTCGAGGTCACCGCGGAATTCATTCGACAATATGAAGAAGACGAACGCAAGCAAGAGGTTTGTTAGTCGTTGCACGTACTGTCATGCTCACCATTGTCGTCGACGACAGCGGCGGCTGGAAGCGGACGTGTCTCGACATATCAACTGCCTCAAAAAGCTCAAGAAGATGTTCGAGGACAGAGAAGACATTCGCCGTCGGCATATTCAATACCGTGAAGGCAAACTCGCGTTAGACCACGGGTTTCCACTACAGGTGACTCGAGATCACTTAAGTGTGAGCATCTAACATGCCCTGATTCATAGAGTAACCAAGATGACGACGCCCAGCGGGAAAATGCAAAGCTCACGTCACGGTCATCCGGAAACTCAAACGACGTGTCACGCGTGTTGTCGAGTTTAGACAAGCTCGTCGAACTCGAGAGGCGCATATCTAGCTTAGAACAGGACGACATTGAACCCGCGTCGGCAGCCGTGGTTGCCCCTTTGCTCAAGGGTTCGACGACTCTCAAGTTTACCAAAACGTCTAATGGTCGCACAACGGCGCAAAAAGTGTCATCCAAGTCCAAGCAATCCAAATCGAAATCGCAAACGTCGACGTTTTTGACATCGGTGCCTGAGCCAAAAAAGTCGAGGCTCGCTGCCGCTGTTCCTTCTACGGGCACGAAGTCAAGAGAAGCCCAGCGAGCGGCAGAGCTACGGCGAATGCCCGAACGGGATAGGCAAAAAGCCCTCAAGATGGACAAAAAACAAGCGATGGCCAGACAATCGGCGCAACAAGCAGTGAAAATCGACCAGTGGGCCGAAAAGAAGAAGCAAGCTGCCGCGGCGCGCAAAGTCAACTACGTCAAGAGTAATCAGCGAGCGGCAGCGGTGGACGTCAAGGCAAAAACAACCCGAGGGGCGAAGAATAGACACATGGAGGATTTTCAAGCGATGAAGCGCGGGTTTGAGGCGAAGAAGGCAGGAATGGCAAAAGTGGGGACAGTGGTAAATACCGTGAAGAAGCGAACTCCAACTGTTTCGTCGCGGAATCAAGCGGTGCCGATGCAACCATGGGGAACTAGGCCCAAGCCGCCTACGGAACAACGATTGCTACCAATGATCCATGGTACACTTCCACGTGCACAGCCGTGTGAGAGTTTCATTCGCTGTGACTAGGTCGAGTTAAAGCAGCAGCTCCAGGTGTGCAACCCCAGCGAACGGCTTCGAACAAAACATCGACGCCTTCATCGTCGACGCTGCCACGGGTCGGCCGACCAACAAACAACGGCGGGAACGATAGTTTAGGCTTGGGCGTCCGAGGCATACGAAGCGGGTGATTATAATGCAAAGTACGCAATGCCTGAGCGAGTGACTTGCTGTTGCCTCAAGACGGAAGTGGCAAGTGAGGTCGAGAGAGAAAAAGTGCCATGTTAAATATACAAGGGCGCGTACAGCAGCTTGAGCTGCTTTTGCGTTTCAAACGCCTCGATGGCTTGCGGTATGCCGTCTTCGAGATCCGGGAGGTGGTTTATCTACGTGCACACATAGAAGCAAGATGCGAAAGACGCATCGATGGACGTACCATTTTGCACAAGTCCAACGCGAGCGACCCGCCGATCTTGGCATCCTCGGGCGTGTCCTTGATGTTGAGGCAAATGAGATGCAACGGGCGAAAGTCCTTGGGCTTCCGGAGCTGCAAGTCTTCCATCACAATGTCAAAGATGCGATCTTCGAAACAAAGAATCACGTCGAGCTTGGCGAGGTCGTCCACCGTATTGTCTTGCCACTTTTGCGGCGCTTTCTTCGTGATGATGTCCCGTTCAAGCATTGCGAGCACACCGTTGCGTCGGAACCTACGATTGGGCCGGTTCAAACGAGAACGCGACAAAAGACCACGTACAATGGCTCGTTTTCGCTCTTGAGCTCGCGATACATGACTTCGTACGGTGTGAAGAACGGAAAAATGCGCGGCTCGTAGAGATTCGGACCCGGGAAACGCACCATGTTCCCTGCCCCAAATGAGCATACTCTCAAGCCAGCATTGTGCAGATGATCATGTGCTTCTGTGCTTCGATTCACGTTGTTCGCGCAGATCATCGCAAACATCGGCGTCGCCATGCTTCGCCCTTGCTTGGTTGGGACTCACTGGTATCCGGGTGTCCGGATAATGCATGGATTTTGCGAAAGATGATTGGATGAAATAACTTCCTATGTCGGAATCAACGAGTATGATTGGACAATTTTCATTCCAAACACCGCCACCGCCGACTCGCCACCACAAGACCAGAGGGATGTCGAGCGAAGGATACGACGAGGTGTACCGCCTCAAGTCCAACCACAAGGAGCTCCTCATGCACAAGCGAACGCTGGAGCGACAGCTAGAAGTGAAACAAGAGCAACTGAAGGAACTGCAGAAGGCGATTGAAGCGTGTGAGGCCCAGCTCTTTGACGATGCGCCGATTGTGCGCAAACGCGACCGTGTAGCGCCGAACACTGCCGCTGGTAGCTCAGCCAAGAGGTTAAACGTATCCTCGGAGTGAGCACTTGCCGTGCTCGCTCCCTCGACTACACCGTGCCAGAAGTGCGTGCTTTAGCTCGACGTGGATGGAACACCCACACTATTTATCTCGCAATTGCATTTCAATGTTCCTGAAGCAATCACGCTGAGTAATTTGAAGGTCGCACAAAAAAAGTGTACTATTTTTCAGCTTGGCGCTTGTATATTTTCAAAAGTTCTTCGAGTTCTGTGCAAATTCTATTTCTTGAAAGATTTTTTCTTGAAAATCTTCAAGATCGACGAAAATGAAACTATTTACAGTGCATTCCCTCGTCCCATCATGGCGGGAACCGACACCTCGGCAGCCGTCGACGTCCTTCGGGCATGGATTGATCAAGCACTCCTTTCATATGGCTATTCGAGTGTTACTGGCACATCACCTTCACAGGGCGATGGGACGCATGGCATGTATTCCCCAGTCGAATACACACTTCATGACAAGGGAGGTGACCTGCTGTCGACTCTGATTTTGCAAGGGCTTGTTGTCGGCAAGATGTTCATGCTATATTGCGAGCGCTCCATCCACAATGACGCAAATGCTTCCACATCCACTTGGCGCGTAGATTTTCCACTGGCACGATACGCCCCCGCACTAGCTGGTTGGTTCCCCCGGTATCAAGAGCTTGTAGCGTGGCGCGTCCAGAATTCCATCGTTCGCCATGGATCGCATACCGCCCAAGCTCTCCTGCCTTTGCTTCCATCTCTGTGCATTGATTCAATCGTATCGTTCCTGAACGCTGCTTCGCTCTGTGCCATACGCGCCACGAACAAGGTACTCGGTTGGTCCTACCGCTTGCATCTATCGCAGCAAGCGGGCATCCTCGACACCATGAAACTCCACATGGCCTTCCTAACCTCAATGCGCTGTTCAATAGATGTTTTATCAATACGCAATGGCGTCGTCTATGTGGGAACTGCAATTACGTCGAGGTTCGCACGCGCAATGCATGCTGTCCTGACTTCCGCGTGAAAGATTTCCCTCGCACGACCACCGACTCGCCGTCCTTTGCCGCCTACGCCAACGCTTGCATGTACGCGATAAGTCTTGAACGACATGGAGTCCCATGGAGGCGTCGTTTTTTCTAGAACTCGGAAGCGCAATAGACATCTGCGCAACCGTGCCATCGAGAACATGTTGTGGTTTGACAGAGAATCGGGTCCAGCATATGCCCAAAGGTGGCTCGCTCCGCCGCCGGCCGCGCTTCTCCACATCCCACGTTTACCGTTTGAAGCTCCGTCTCCATAACCCAACCGAGCGACCCATGGCGTTCTCCGTTCGAGCACACTGTTGAGAGCGCCAGACATGGGCATCGCACTTGCAATCAACCATTTTTTCGTCTGGCGAACTCGCCATGGCGTTCAAGCAACAACTCAAACCCGATCGAACCACCATTGCGTCGGTGCATCGTGGCCATGCTCAAGGGCGTAGCTTTTCCCAGTCGCTCGAGCACACACAGAGGACACCTTTCGTTCAATGATCTGTCATGGCGCATGACTGCGCCACGATGTGGAAGACGAAGTTTGAGGATAACTCGTACGGGGCCTTCATGCGCGGCGGCGGTGCCATGAGGGACCGTTTTCAACACGACGACGGCGATTTTCGAGCCAATCCTTCGAGACGAAAAGATGATACATTAAGATCGAAACGATGCCAAGTGATTACAATGCGACGTTGTGTCCACTACCAGACGTGTCGCTGTCCGAGGGGAGGCCGGTGGCCGCGCTCTTGGTCTTGCCGGGGCTGGCACTCCCGCCTTCAATTTGAATCGCTTGCAACTTTGGTACGACGCTAGCCCATTTCGCTTCAACTTTAGTGTTGTACTCAATCTGGAGCTCGACGTAGTCCAGCACGATGCGCTTAAAGTCGTTCAGCTTGTCCTGCTTGAAGCGGTCGACCTCCCGCACCACGCGCTCTGTCACAATGTCGTGCTCGAGCTTGGCATCGTCGACGCGATGCTGCGCCTGGTCGCCCATTCCCCATGAAAAGGCCATTGCACGACAGGACATTTTACCTTGGACACATCGCTCTCGGCACTTTGGACTTTGTCAAGGCTGCTGCCTTTTGCCTGGAGCTTCGCCAGGGTCGCCTTCTTGGCGTCCAGGTCAGCCACCGTTGCGTGGTACACCTGGCGTACTTCGTTGCGCTTGACCAAGGCGGCTTTTACAGCTCCCACCAGCCGGATGTAGTCGACCATGGGCTCTTCGAACAGCAACACTTCCTTTTCCGCCTACATGTTGGAAGTCCATGACGTTTTCAACCTATCATTGCCGAAAAGTCACGTACATGCTCAGCTGCCAAGACTGACAGCGCATCCGCGCAGGAACCGACATACCGCAGCGCAGTCTGGAGCGATTCGTTTTCCTCAGACTCCCCCAGCAACGTCAACGCCACGCCGTACTCGAACAAGCCGTCGGCAATCTCTCTCGCGCGCTTGGTAAGTCCGTGGGCATGTTTTGCAAGCCCTTGGATGATGGGTTCCAAAGCGTCCATGTAGGCCGAGATGTCTTCGACTTGAACGTCCGCGTTCGTCTTTAACTTGTCGAGAAAGGTTGTGGACGTGAGTGTGCTCGAAATGGACGCGACCGTGTCACTGACGTACTGGAAGAGCCCAAGGCCACCCCCACCGCTTCCGCCGCTGCTGCTACTACCTCCGCTTGTCGCGCTGCCCCCTTTTGCCTTGTCGGCCTTGAATTGTGCTAATGCGTCGTCGGATGCTTCAAGGAACGTGGTCAAATGCACGCTGTGCTGGATTTCGGGATGTGCCCCACATCGACACAGAAATAAATGGAGAGCACGACGGCGAGACTCGACAAACTCGGGGGAAAAACGACCCACGAGCAACTTCTCGGGCAACGGTGGCACAACGACCCCTGCATAGTGGGCACACAGCGACGCATGCAACCAGACAAAATCGGAAAATCGACGGATCACCGAGAATTGACTCTTCTGGAACTGCCGGCGGTCGGTGGTTGTCGTGATCTTGTACGAAATGTACGCATGCATGCCTTCTCCTTGCTTCACAGGCTCCCCCACTTCGATGTGGATATATTCAGTTGCCTCGTATCGGGCAGATGATGACGATGACGGTGGAGCTGAGGATGCGGACGATGGAGCAGGTGGTGGGAGTGATGCATGAGCATTCGAGGACGAGTTGGAGGGGGCAGACGAAGGCGCTGGCGCGCCGTTGTCGAAGTCGACGTTGACCCACTTGCTCATCTTGCCGAGTTCTTCAGAAATGGAAAACCTATGGGAATTCAACCAATCAGCATCGTCTCGGGAGATCCCACGACGATAAAATATATCTACACACTTTCTGTCCATTTCTTGGTCTATTTTTCCTATAATTTGGATATCACTTTGGAAGGTTTCGTCGAATTGATATAAAATCGCC